AGTCGAAAAGTTGGTCGAGTGCTAGGGGGTTCAACTTTGGAGGCGCGATTGTTAGTATTTTTTTGTCACAAAAGTTGAGCAGCACGCTGTAAGAAGGATTACATAAATTTTCACCAACTTCATCAAAAATGTTATAAAAATTTGCTTAGAGGCTTTGGACAGCGCTGATCAAGATGGAAGTGTCAAATGAATAACTGAAATTTTGTGACGCAACAAGATGAGCATGATAAAGGTTATGACGTAGATTGTCAACTCACGAGACTCATGGAAACACGAGGTCATTTTTGAGTTTACTTATCTTGACCAAATTTTTATTGGTGTCTCCCATACTTGATCGACTTCTAAGGCTCTGTTAAGTGTGAGAGTTTATACATCGATCGTGAATTTCTTAAAAATCAAGCACCGCTCACTACGTTGTGCGATACTACGTATGATGTGCATTTCGTTAGATGACGTTCTGTTTTCCATCACCAAATTTGTCGAAAGCTGCGAAAAATATTGATGAAACGTAGATTTCCTTTAGTCAGCATTGCACATTCTCGTGTTTTTTTGAAGATCAATATTACATCATGTTACGTGAAAAAGATTCTTTCTTTATCGTTTATGATGCAAGTTATTTCGAAATTTCTTTTACTGATTTCTATGAATGACGATGTGGAGAAGGCATACAATATGACATCTATTGAGCATTTGTTGTCGTATCTCTCCTCTACTCCGTTCGTCTCATCTTCGTTTCTGACCTCACTGGGAGAAGAAAGAAATGAGTTGTTCTCCATTTATTCATCCTATATGAATTGAAATATTGAGTACTGAGAACAGATTGATTGGTGCCGTCCTCTCAACTCTCGTGCTACATCCATTTGACTTCGATCATCTATGAATCATCACGCTTCGAAAATCAAACCAAGTTGACTATTGATTATCGCAGTTGAGTAGGAGATGTGGCTGAAGAAAATTAAACTTTTTCAACGTGAGCGTGACAGCATAAACAAAAGAAACAACATCTGCTAGACTCTTTTAGATTTTAACAGTTCTAGCTAAACCTCAGTAGAATTTGTATACATACTAAACTACTTAAGTAAGATGTATCTTAAAAGATCTCACAGATAAATCTTTCTTATGATGAAAAATGGACTTTACTCGGTAATGTAACTAAATTAAGTGAATCATGACCTTAACTAAGCCTTATCAATCATTGAAAATTTAATGGCAAGACCTTGTGCATAGTCAGTTGATCTTAATTGCAACAATAATCAGATTTATTTTGATACATACGTATGTGGCACAATGTTAATTGCGTAACAAAAAATTTGCACATAACTAAAAAATGTTCTAATAATCGTGTTAGAATATTTTGGTTTTTGATCCATGACCATGGTACGTTGATATTTTTTTAAGTCATCAAAAATATGATGTTTTTAATGAGAGGAGAAGAAAATGAAATTTTCTATGTATATAATACTTCCATGTTATGTATGGATTGCTTTATAAATAATATTGCTAAATTATTGAACCGAGTACTATAAATGTTATCAATGATTGAAAAGAAAACATTTATTTTAGAAGACTAATTTCAATAACAAAAGTAGAACTTATTTTTGAAAACCTATCTATTCGAATTAATTTTAAAAAACATAAAAGCTCTATGATTTATAGATCTATATTAATCGTTTGCGTTGATCGAAAAGAAATTTTTGATTAGAATTTTCTACAAACAGTTCAGTCATTCGAAATAATTGTCTTCAGTAGAAATATTTTAATTATTATATGGCATAGACTAGACGAAATATTTTTTAATGGTTACGTTTACCTACGTCAAATCAGGTAGAATATTTTTTTTTCTTATTCTATTTATTTAGTGTGTCAATAAATTGTATCGTTTAGAAGCAATACATTAGAAAAAGGGGAAGGACTTGAGCTTTAGAAAGAAGAATGAGTCAAATGTTTTTTTTCTTTCTGCGAAATGTCTAGTCTTTCAGTATTCTCTTTTATTATTATATATGATCAACTTCCTATTTTAAGTATCAATCCCAAATCATATGGAAGTAAGTTGTATATAAAATACTTATCATTCAATTTCATGAGAATTATACAAAAGATATTTTCTAAAAGAAAATCAATATTTAATAAAATGGCAAATTTAGAAAAACAAATATTCGACATTATTCATAGAAGGGAAAGGGTAAATATTCCAAATAATGATATAGCTAAAATAATGTATTATTTAAATTGTGTTTGTCATTGCATTGATTATGATGATAGTGATATTGATCGTTTCATAAATTATCCCAATTGGTCATCATTATCGGATGAAGAAGAACAATTTGTCTTTTTTTTAGCGCTTAACTTGAGCCCAGATTTATTTATTGGCAAAGTTTTTTTTCCAAGTGATGAACTATGTTATGATATATATGGAAAATTTTACGATATCCATGACATAAATCATCCGAAAATGGTTACTCGATCATTGGTCATTACAGAACGTATTTGTGAAGTTAAACAGATTTTTGCTTTCAAGCAAACATGGTTAAAAGAATATTATCTTGATCCAATGAAGAAATTTGCTCAAAAATTTTCTTCTCGACAACAACAAGCGAATAGATCTTGCGTTATTTCTTAATTTCATTAACTCTTATGATGTATATAAGAAAAAAACATTTGTGTTTTTTTATTCCCATGCAAATATTTTCTGGATTGAAACGCGTTTGCATTTCCACTAGAACATTTTTCATACCTAGACGTGTTTCATATGAAATTTTTAAAAATTTTTAAAATAAATTTCAATTTATTGCACATTCCAAAACAAATAGGTTTGTTATGGAACCAAACGCATTTCGTATTAGGCTACGGAACAATTTTAGGTTTCCAAAAAATAGCAAAGAGTCTCGGACTTTTCATATGAAATCATTGTGCCTAGCTAGAAAGCATTGTACGAGTATCATGACTAATTTTCAATGTAGATGCTCAATCAAACGCATGAATTTTGGGTGAGATATGGTCATCTGACTAAAAGCACACAAAATATATTTTTCTTTTTTTCAAATTAAAATATTTTTTTATCAATCAGTTGTGTGAAATATTTTTACGATATCTCCTCAATAATGTCAGCTGGAGATCTGAAAATTTCACCAGATATACATTTGAGATGACTAATTTAACCATCCTATAAAACAAAGTTCATGTGAAGATGAAGCTTTATTGGACTTCTTCATTACAGTGTTACTCTCGGTATATTTTAGGTTCAAAAATGGATGTATTTTGGCGATAGACGTTCTCCAAATCAGCACGACAGAATCGCTCAAAGTTTTTCCTGAAAACCGGTAACTTGCTTCTAGTTGGACATGCACTTTAATGTTTGGGATTTTGAAGTTTGACTTGACAAGCGTTATCACAAAATAACGCGTTTCTCCATATAGTATACAATGGAAGACGATTACAGGCCACTTGGTTTTATGATAAAACCAAGGTTACTTGGCATGAAATTTTCGTCAATTACAGAAGGCAAAGTCAGTAGTCGCTTCTAGAAATTTTAGCTTCGTTGGTGAAACTTTCAACCCTCACACTCTCACCCTCTGTTAGTCATTTTTACATCACTTTTGTACGTCAAAACTTGTGCACCCTTTTCAGCGCCTTTCTTTCGTACCGGAAAAAAATTGAGAGGATTAGCGAAAGAATAGTATTAAATGGCAGGCCTTTAAAGCCAAACCATAGTTAACTCGTTACTTGTTAGCCGTCGGG